CCCCCCCGCCCCCACTGGGGGGGGGAGGGGGAGGGGGAGGGGGAGGAAGCATCCCCGGCACAAAGGTCGGCTAGCGCAAAGGCCCAGGTAGGACTGTGTGTGGAGAATAGCAAGGAGGCCCTGCGTCCAGCGCAAAACTGAAGAGTTGTACAAAATTAGGTCAGAGAGGTGACTAGGTTGGAGATAAGATCATGAGGGTCTTGTAGATCATTGTAAGAGGTCCCACACCATCACCACCCCCGCCCCCCATGGATAATATTTTTACTTCACTTGGAAATCAGCTACCTAGATGTCCCAGTACCACTTTAACCACCTCTTGGCATCTCGGCTGAGACTACCTGTCTCAGTTCCGCCTGGAAATCGACCACAGGTACTTGCTGCTGCTGCCGCCATCTCCTTGGGTACAGGTGACGCTCTTGACTTGGACTTCCATCTCTGGGAGTGTTCTTCTGTAGTCCGTCTCAGGTGTAAGTGGTCCCTGGCCGGGTCCATCATGCTGCTGGCTGCTCCTCAGAACAGACCATCAGGCATCTCCAGAGACCACTCTGCTCTGCGCAGATCATTGTAACACTCTAAATGTGAATGAACCAAAAGTTTTTGTTTTGTTTAGTGTTTGAAGTAAGGTCTACATCGGGGTCCCGGCTGGTTCAGTGGGTGCGGCATGCGACTCTTGATCTTGGGGTCGTGAGATGGAAACCCAAGATGGGTGTAGAGATTACTTAAAAATAAAATCTTAAGAAGAAGGAACACACACACACACACACACACACACACACACACACACACACACAGCATCCAATTCGGGGGCCCGAACTCACAACCTCAAGATCAAGAGTCAAATGCTCTACTGACTGAGCCAGCCAGGCAACCCCGAGCTGGGAGGTTTTGAGCAGAGGAGTGCCTTGATCTGAGTCCTCCGCCTCCCACTCCGCTTGGCACCCAAAATAATAATTACCATTATAATTATTTTTATCGTTGTTAATAAAAAATAAGAAATCAGGCTGTTAAAGACAAAAGCAGGGAAATCAGTCAGTTAGTTCAGGAGGCTTGCATAATCCAGGCAAGACGATATTGCCTTCGTATGGTGGCATGATCTGCCACACCAAAAAAAAAAGTCATTTTGGCCTAAGGGTTATTTTGAACTAAAGGCATTTAAAAACCAGCAGGTGGTTAAGCGGTTCGCAGCCGCCTACCTAGTGCCCATCCCAGTGGGTTCTCCTCCGCTCCTCCGCGAGGCCACCCCCGCACAACCAACACGCCAGCTTCACCGACGCCCCTCCTCGCCACTGCCGCCACGGACCGCTGTAGTCCCCACCTGTAGAAAGGAGCGCCGGGAGGGGAAATGCAACAGGCGAGAGCCCCGGCCCAGGCATCTTGACAATCGCGACCCGGGAGGCTGGGGCCACCGGCCGGGCAGCCGCCAAACGCAGGGGATATGCTCCCTCTGCCCGGAAAGGGGCGCTGGGGCGGCGTCGGCCCTGCTCTTTTTTCTAAAGGGCCTTCCAACCACGCCAAGGCATGCCGGACCTCCGGCTTGCCAGTGTGGTGGCCTCCGTCATTTCAAGAAGAAGCAATGACCCGGGCCTGTCAGCGTGCACCCTTCGATAGCTCAGCTGGTAGAGCGGAGGACTGTAGGCTGGATACGTGTGGGCATCCTTAGGTCGCTGGTTCGATTCCGGCTCGAAGGAAGTGCCTGACGCTTTTGCGCCACGGGGCGGGGGGGCACCGCCCCCCCCCCCAGCGCCCCGCCCCAACTCTGCCCCGCCCGGGCACCTGCAGCCTCGCGGCAGCCCCTCTCCCACAGGCCAAAGTCAGTAAGTAAAACCTTTACGGAACACCTGCCTACGTCTGCTCGCGTGCTGCCGCCAGGGAACACACCTGCGCCTTCTTCCGGCAGTTTACCTGCACGTGCCCGTGGACGCTCCACGTCCCCGCCGCTCCTGCCTTGTCTCAGCCCCACGCCGTCCCGCGCCCTTCCCCACTTTTATTCGCCCACTGTTCCCGCTCCAGACAAACGCGTGGGCAAAGAGGTTCTGCCCTCGGCAAGCCCTCGAGGCTGACAAGCGTACAGGTCGTCACACGGGTCGGGAACAACCATGGCGTCCTTCATGAAAACTCCCCCTCCTCGATCTCCTGCCTTGCCTCCGAGGACGGTCGCTGCGTCGGTCGCTCCCAGTTGCAGTCTCTCTGTCTCCTCCTTCCCTGTTTCTCATAGGGTCTATAAATATACAGCTCTACGGAGACAGAAAACCCTCTTCCCCGACCAGCTTAATCTACTTGTGGGACAGAACTGTCACTCTGAGGTTTTCCAAGCCATCGCCAATTGTGCGCTTGCATCGAAGCTGACACTGGCAGGAACGAAATGCAGCAGGGCCCCCCTCATGGGCCTTGCCAGTCGCGACGAGAACTTCAGCGGCCCCTTCAGGTTTCTTGTCAGTCTGAGGACAGGGCGGGCAGTGGTCCGGGTACACTTCCGTTTTCCCGTGCCTTCGCACCTGTTCTTGTAGCCACGGATGGCGGGGCTGGGGGCGCTCCCGCTGAGAGAGCAGTGATTACTCACACTCTGTGCACGGGTGGTAAATCCACCCGTACCGATTCTCCCGCTACATCGGACGGAGGGAGAGGGAGATGGATGAAGTATTTCTATCTTACCCGCTTTCTGGCCACGGACCGACCGGACCGCTGGGGTCTCCACCTGTATGCAGAAAGGGGCGGGGGCGAGCGGGGGTGGGGGGGGGTGGGGGCGGAGTGTGGCGGCAAAACGCAGACTTAAGAGTCAGAGTCGGGGCGCAGAAGAGTGGGAGTAGGGGTGGAGTGAGACGGGGGCAGCTGTCGTCACAGTCGGTCGGGCGCACAAATTCACGTCCTTACTTACACAGGCAGCTGGCCTGTGGGTTCTGACCAGCTGGCTGACTTAGCGCTGGGCCCTTAAGGCTAAATTGGCAGGGCCTGAAGAGGGAGACACTGAGGGCCTGTCAGAGAGCACCCATCCAGGAGAAAACGGGCTTCATCCTGGGGACAGAGCCAGGTTGTTGGGGCTGCGGGTGGGTGCAGAGAAGAACGCCAGGGAAAGGTCCTTGTTCTCTTCCCCCCTGTGGGAAGGAAACTCCAGAGACTCAAAGTACAGTTGGAGCGCATCACAGAGGGGGCTGGCAGCGGAACCGCACCGGGAGTGTGGCTCTCTGAGGCCTCAGGGACCCGGCTACTGCCATCCCTGACCTCTGAGACCACAAGCGCCTTTTCGGTTCTAGTTCTGCCTCCCAAACTGGAGACTGCGTTTCCCCCGGCCCCCCGCCCTTCCTCTTGGTTCGCTCCCCAGCCCAGTCTCAGTGCTACTGTCCCACTGCCTCCACGGGTTCAGGAGGCCCTGCCTTTGAAGTCCAACAGTTGACCTTCGGGAAGCCACAGAGAGACCCCAGCCTCTAATGTCACCATCTACAGGCAGAGACCAGCAGACAGGCACCAAAGATAAAACCTCAACCACCTTCACTGGATGTGCCTGCCCCCCAGTGAGATGTGGAGGTGTGGAATCCCTGGGGACCTAGCTTTGGCGCTTTGGGGGAATAGCAGGGTGAGGGGTGGAGGGGGGAGGTGGGTTTTGGCATCCAGCAAATGCAAGAGTGGGCCCTAGCATGGCCGACGCTTCCTGTCCGGGGTGTCATGGGGAGTAGCCGGGTGCTTCCAAGGTACGGCCCCACATCCTTGCAGGCACAGCAGTGCCTGCCACCCAGTCAGGCAGTGGCGACACAGTCAAGGGAAGGCCACGTAGATGTGACCTGTTGCGCCTCTGTGGGACTTTCACTGGGTGGGTGGGTGGGCACACACCCGAGGGGATGTTAAAATACGTGGAGCCAGGGCAAGGAGTCCAACCCCGGCACTGGTGTTCTCTTCTCCCCCGCCTTTGACTCCAGGGCCTCTCCAGGAAGTCCAAAGCACCTTGACCTATTTCAGGAAGTAACCACCTCCCTCAAAGGAATCCAGGTCGGTGCGCACAGGAGGGTCAAAGGAGCCAGGCCACCAGACTGGCTGACACGGCTGGGTATCAATCGGCCTCGTCATGCCCTGAAACATGGAGCTGTGCCAAAAAGTAAAGCAATGTGCCACTGAAGTGGACATGTCAAGCACACAAGAGCCATTTTGAAAGGGTTCCCACTGGCCAAATCGAGATCATGATAATAATCGATCATAGGGGCGCCTGGGTGGCTCAGTTGGTTAAGTGTCTGACTTCGGCTCAGGTTATGATCTCACGGTCCGTGAGTTCAAGCCCCATGTCAGGCTCTGTGCTGACAGCTCAGAGCCTGGAGCCTGTTTCAGATTCTGTGTCTCCCTCTCTCTCTGTCCCTCCCCTGTTCATGCTCTGTCTCTCTCTGTCTCAAAAATAAATAAACGTTAAAAAACATTTTTTTTAAAAAAATAAAATAAAAAATAATGGATCATAATCCGTGGAGTAAAACAGGTGCAGGGCCTAAATGCAATCACACATCAGTATCCGTGAACGCTAAGCACCACCGGATCTTGGCCTCCAGATACACAAAATGGAAAAAAAAAAAAAAAAAAAAAGGAACCAGGGCTCCTTGGAGACCCACCTAGCCACTTCTTTGGGTTTTCATGTTACTATGGGGTCTCCCACGTACATGGAAAAAATCTGTATGCTTTCCTTCTGATATTCTGTTTTACGTCCAATTTAATTCTCAGGCCCTGCTGGAGACCCTAACAGGGTAAAAGTAAAGTTCTGTCTCCCGTACACCTTGAACCAGAGTGAAGCATGATGGAAGAACAGAAGAGGAAGGCATGGGAGAAAACTAACTAAGGTGCATACCCCTGACTTACCTTTTTCTGATGGTTTGTAAGATGATCCCATTCTTCTAAAGTGAGAAGGGGGTGAACCAGGCTAGGTTGGAGGCCGATGGGGTAGACTGGTGGGTGGATCCTCACAAACTGTGAGATCGTAACCTGAGCAGAAATCAAGAGTCAGGATGCTTGACTGGACTGAGCCACCCAGGCGCCCCAGAAACTTTTTTTTTTTTTTTTAACCCCGCGATCTATAAGTTCATTAATGAAGCGTATACTAAAAGCCTATTATGCCGCCATGCACTGTTGTAGCCAAGTATGAATGGAGCAATCAACAAAATAGACAAGAATCTCTGGCCTCGTGGAACTTCCCTCTCAGGGGGTATAGTTAGGAAACTAAAATGCAGGGGTCCTGGGTGGCTCAGTCCGCTAAGCGTGGGGTTTGGGCTCAGGTCCTGAACTCACGGTTGGTGAGTTCGAGCCACGGGTCTGGCTCTGTGCTGACAGTTCAGGGCCTGGAGCCGGCTTCAGATTCTGGGGCTCCCTCTTTCTCTGCTCCTTCCCCGCCCACGCTCGCTGTCTCGAAAACCAAACACTAAAAATTTTTCAGAAAAAAAGACAAAGCTAATAAAATGCTAGATCGGTTCTCCAAGCGTCTCTGGAACCAAATGGGAATCCTGTAGTATAGAAGCGGCTGTTACCTAGTTTGGCGGATTCTGTGAAAGTAAGGTCTCTATAAAACGTTGCTGCGTCCCGCGCTCGTAACCAGCCAGCCCCCACAAGACCAGGCGATGCTGAAACTACGAGCCCAGGAGCACGCGTTGAAAGCGACTGCCCCCCTCCACAGCAAAAACGCTTTAAGAACTCGCGACGAAGGAAAAAAGGGAAGAAGAAAAAAAAAAAAAAAGCAAACCCAAAACACCGCCGAGACTGCTGTCCTGACACCATAGACGTTAACTGTGGAGATCTAAACGTCCCGGAACCCGTTTACCGCGCCACCGCGCGTGAGGAAAGCCGCGCCTGTTCTTTGCAAACTCAGAAGACCAGGGGAAAGCGCGAACGCAGTCCCCCACTACCACAAATTATGCAGTCGAGTTTCCCACATTTGGGGAAATCGCAGGGGTCAGCACATCCGGAGTGCAATGGATAAGCCTCGCCCTGGGAAAACCACCTTCGTGATCATGGTATCTCCCCTGCCAGGTAAGTATGAGTTGCTCGCCCGGCCTCGCCCCGCACCCTCGCGCTCGCCACGCTTCTTACACACGGTCACTTGCCTCACGCGGCCTCCGCGCCCCAGCTGCCCGCAGCCCCCCCTCAGCTTCAACCTCTCCCGTCCGCAAAACAACCTCGGGCGCCTTCGCCTAGCCCCCACGCGGGACGTGCACGCCCAGGCGGTCCGGGACCGGCAGCCAATGCGCGCATGCTCATCTACATACGCCACGCCCCGTCGCCCGAGTGGGCGGAGGAACGTCCCACCCTTGGGGGACGAAAGTAGAAGAACCGGGGGAGCCTGGCTGTGATTCTTCCAGTTAAAATGAACATTAGTTTGTAGTTCTCTTATTTATTTTATTTATTTGTTTTTTCATTATGACGTGGATTCATGAGCAGATGGCTAAGAAAGGTTTCTCCTGACGTTTCAGTGCAAAAAGGTGTTGTTATTATACGTAGCACCAGCACAGCACCCGGTGGGCAGGCAGAAAGAGCTGCACTGGGCTTGTGAGGAGTGACTTGATGATATATTTTTAAATTTGTGGAGGGAGGGGGGATAGAGATAAAGTAAGTTTCCAAGGAATTTTGAAGCAAGGCTTTCAGGACCCTGAGGGGCTAGCTGCTGTCATGGTAAGGTTGCTTTTAGTTTTTAACGAAATATAAACATTAAGGCACTACCGCAGCCGTGAGCTCCTTGAGGAAGGTCACGCTCTGCACGTTTCAGCTCTCTATCAGTGGGCTGCAAGCTGTAAGGAGATCTAGTTTAAGCTACGTTTCTCTTGCCTTTGTTTCCCTCATCAATCTGTACACCCATGTAGGGCTAGAACTCTTCACTGAGAGCCCCATGGTCTACCAACTGAGCCAGCCAGGCACTGCACAGCAGTTTGCAGTTTGCAGTTGGATTGAGGGGTTTGATTTTGTCACCGTTTTTTTCTAACATTTTCCCCACTGAGAAATCACAGTCTTTGCAAAGGCTGGTGAGCCCTCGTTTGGGTTTTCTAGTTTGTTTACTTTTTTCTTTGGCTGACCTTGTGGCCTCCAGGAGGTTAGGACAGGGTTGCTTGACTTGTGGGTTCGCTTTAGGTATGACACATCGACTGTGTTAAGGGGGGGGGGGGGAGAAAAAGGCCCCCAAATATATGTAGTATGCTACCGTTTGTGTAGGAAAAGTGTGAAAACAAGAAAATTATACACTCTTGCCAAAAGAAACAGAAGACTAGGGACACCTGGGTGTCTGACTCTTGACTTCAGGTCAGGTCAGGTCAGGATCCCAGGGTCGTGGGCTGGGCACTGAGTGTGGAGCTTGCTTAAGATTCTCTCTCTCCCCCTCTGCCCCTCTCCCCTTCTCCCCGACTAGCACTCTCTAAATAGATAAATGATGAAATTGCCTGGGGGGGGGGGGAGTGGAAGGAGAGAGTGATGCTTTTCTGAGTACACCTTTCTCTGTAATTTTGACTTCTGGAATTCTATTAATATTTTACATATATTTTTTAATCACAGGGGGAACATCCCTAACGTTGAACATAAGCATAACTGAACCTAGCGATCTGAGATGAATAGTGTAGCCACACTGGAAGAAAAAAAAATAACCAACTGAAATGACTTTTGGGCGCAGTACATCGACTATAAACATCTTCAAGTCCAAAGACAAGAACTGCAACCACATACTGAACTGTCCCATAGTAGGTTTGTATTTCATAGCTGTATGGTCCTAACAGTTCTGTAACAACGTTGTGTATATTGTAGGATTGAGCTAATGACTAAATGGATGTTGGGAGTCAAGGTTCTTACTGTTGGAGAAAGGAGATACAAACAAATATGGAATGATGGTCCGCCTGGGTGGCTCGGTCTGTTGAGCATCCGACTCTTGATTTCAGCTCAGGTCATGATCTCACGGTTCATGAGTTTGGGCCCTCCGTCGGGCTCTGTGCTGATGGCTCAGAGCGTGGAGCCTGCTTCAGATTCCGTCTGTCTGTCTGTCTGTCTGTCTGTCTCTCTCTCTCTCTCTGCCCCTGCTCATGCTCTGTCTCTCTTGCTCTCAAAAATAAATAAACATTTGGGGCGCCTGGGTGGCTCAGTCGGTTAAGCGCCTGACTTTCGCTCAGGTCACGATCTCGCGGTTCATGGGTTCAAGCCCCACATCGGGCTCTGCGCTGACAGCTCGGAGCCTGGAGCCTGCTTTGAATTGATTCTGTGTCTCCCTTTCTCTCTGCCCCTCCCCTGCTCATGCTCTCTCTCTCTCTCTCTCTCTCTCTCTCACTCACAAAAATAAACATTTAAAAAATAAATAAACATTAAAAGCAAAAACAAAAACACGGGGTGCCTGGGTGGTGACAGCTCGGAGCCTGGAGCCTGTTTATTCTGTGTCTCCCTTTCTCTCTCTGTCCCTCCCCTGCTTGTGATCGGTCTCTCTCTCTCTCTCTCTCTCTCTCAAAAATAAATAAACGTTAAAAAAATTAAAGCAAGCAAACAAACACATATGGAATGGTGGAGGGCAAGGAGGACCCACTTGCATAAAATTGAGAGTTGGAATTTAAGGTACTGGTGTGGGCTCATTATTTATTTTTTTAATTTTTTTTTTTTTTTTTTTTTAAGAGAGAGAAGGAGCGAGTGGGGGAGAGGGCATAGAGAGAGGGAGAGAGAATTTTCTTTACGTTTATTAATTTATTTTGAGAGGGGGGAGAGGGGCAGAGACAGAGGTAGAGAGAATCTTAAGCAGGTTCCACACCTAGCAGGCAGCCGGAGGCAGGGCTCAATATCATGACCCCAAGGTTATGACCTGAGCCAAAATCAAGAGATGGATGCTTAACCAACTGAACCACCCACGTAGCTGTCCTTGGGCTCATTGCTTTTAATCTACATCTGTAGATAGGTGTTAGGAAATACACGTATTCTCTACCTCTATCCACTGAAGGGGCCTAGAGGCAGAGACAGTAGCATTAGACATACCTACCGCCTTGATCTTGCTTCCTTTCTTTTTCTTTTTTCTTTTTTTCTTTTCTTTCTGTCTCCTCCTCCTCCTCCTCCTCCTCCTCCTCCTCCTCCCCCCCTCCTCCTCCCCCCCTCCTCCTCCTCCCCCTCCTTCTCCTCCCCCTCCTTCTCCTAACGTTTATTTGTTTTTGAGACAATGTGTGAGCGGGGGAGGGGCAGAGAGAGGGGGGCTGAGGATCCAAAGCGGGCCGAACTCACCAACCGAACCCGTGAGATCACGACCTGAGCCAAAGTCGGCCGCCCAACCGACTGCGCCACGCAGGCGCCCCTTGATCTTGTTTTCTAAAACCACTCCCCACTGAAAAGAACCAGGCCTCTTTGGAGAAATAGATAATTTTCACGAGCCAAGACAGATACATAATGGCCCTGGAACATCTTGTGCCAGAAGACACGGAAATGCTCCAAAAATGTTATGGACGTGTCCAAAGGACACCGTAGGCACCCTGAAGGGGTTTTTATAGGCCCGATCTGAGAACATCAGAACATCAAAATAAATTTCAAAACAGTTTTGGGTTACAAACAACTGAACAAAATAACAACCATGAGTTCGTATCGTTAGCACATAGGGAAGGAGGGAAAGTCCTACCTTACGATGCCAGCTGATAACTGAAGAATGAATGATGGAATTAGAAAATGGACATTTGGCAATCATAACGCAAGAGCCATCAGTGGATGCTAAAAACTGTTGTGTTAAACAGGATGTTCACATATCCTCAAATTATCTCCATACAAATCACTTAATAATTACAAAGGGAAAACTCGATGAACACCTCCAGTGGCCGACAGTTGCAGTGCTGGCCCCAGTACCCAGGTGCTTCTGCAACACCCCAGCCTACTGACTTTGGCCTTCGCTATGTGACTTGCTTTGGCTAATGGGACATTAGTAAATGGGATGCAAGCAGAAGGTTGAAAATCACTTGCTCGTTAAGACTGGCTCTCACTTGCCTGTCCTGAGGCCACCATGAGAAGAAGCCTGGGTTAGCCCGTTGGAGGATGACATCGCCGGAGTGAACGTGAACCGTGTCTGCCGAAGTCCCCTAGACCGACTAGGCCCCAGGTGACCTGCAGGCTGGCCGCCGCGGCTCCAGCGATCCCACTTGAGACCGGCAGAACTGCCCGGTGGAACCCAGCCAGAATCGCTGATCCACAGAATTGTGAGCAAGTGAAACGGTCATTATTTCCAATCGCTAAGTTTTACGGCAATTTGTTACACAGAGACGGGTAACCGATACACCTCCTTCACTAAGTAGTCGATGTTAACCCCACCAGTAATAGAACAAACTGCCTTCACGTGCCTCCAAACGTGGTGCCCAGAGGAGGCCTGTATACATCTGCTAGGTCTGTCATAATAAAATACCACCAACTGGGTGGCTTAAAAAAAAACAGAAGTGTCTTCTCTCACAGTTCTGGAAGCTAGAGGTCCAAAAGCAAGGTGCCAGCAGGGCCATACCCTCTCTGAGGCTCTGAGTGGAATCGTCCCTCGTTCCTCCCCAGCTTCCGGTGGTGACAAGCCAATCCTTGGCTCGCTTGCGGCTACATCACTACACTCTCTGCTTCTGCCATCGCATGGTGTTCTGTCAGCGAGTCTCTTCACGTTGCCGTCTTCCTCGCGTAAGGAAAACAGTCACGTTGGATCAGGGCCCGCTCGAGTGACCTCACCTTCACCCGACTGTATCTGCACAGATCAGATTTCCAAAGAAGGTCACAGTCCTAGGTACCAGGACTTAGGACTTCAACCTATTTTTTTGGAGGGACACAAACCAACCCATAACAGACACGGTATCATTTACGTAGCCTTCGTGTCAAAAATGCATTCCTGAATGTACTTGCGAGGGAAGCCAGGACAACTCAAAAACTGAAGGACGGTCTCCAAAATGACTGGCCCGTAGTCTTCAAAAAGGCCTGCATAATGAAATGCAAAGAACTACCTGGGAACTATTTCAGATAAAGAGACATGACAACTGAATGCAACACATGATTTTGAATTTTCCTTTGCTCTAAAGGACATTATTGGGACAATTGATGGAAAAGGGAATAACGTCTGTAGAGTAGTAAGATTGTATCAATGGTCATTTCTTGGTTTTGATAATTTTCCTGGGGTTAGGGAAGAGAACCATTTGTTTGTTTTGAGGAGTAGTACACCCTAAGAAAGGAAACTTCCTGAAACAACTAACAATCCAAAACGTGGGCCACCTGGGTGCTCAGTCCCTTAAGGGAACGAGCCTTGGGTCATGATCTCACGGTTGGGGGCGGGGAGGGGGCGGAGAGGGGGTTCGGTGCGCGTGGGGCTCCCCGCTGACAGCACGGAGCCTGCTTGGGATTCTCCCTCTCCCCTGCTCTCGCCCGTCCTCCCGCTCTCTCTCAAAATAAATTAAAAAACAAAAGAAAAGAAAAGTAAAGTAAAAGGATGTACAACGCGTTAACTCGGAGCTTGATGCTGCTAGAACCTCAGAGAAGTCTTTGCTGACCCAATAATCTCTAGTCCTGTCTCTTGCCTTGCTTTGCTCCAGGGACCCGATCACCCAGGAACACACAACACTTCGATCATTTTGCTCCTATCTGAAGAGGATATTTACCTTTACCTCCACTCGATCTCCGGAAAGAATCTTCTTGTACACAAGAGGAAAAGACAAATCCGGGCAGGCTGAAAGAGGCAGCCGAAGCCCACAGGATGAAAACGTGATGTTTCCGTTCATTTGATTTTCGGAGACCATTCGACGCCCCTCCCCAGCCCACACGTCTACTCTTGAGAATGGACGCCTTGTCCTGACTGACGCCCTCTGTTCAAATTTTCCTTTCGTTGTCGCAAGATTAGGTTACTACGTAATCCGAAAGGTCCTACTGAGGATTAAGACAATTTCATGTTAAATTGGTGACAAAACTCTTAGTATTTAAGGTTGAGTTGATTCTCTGTTGCGTATTGTATGTACTTTTCGTTGCAAGGAAGGGGAGACTTAACCCACCGCCTCGGTGGGGCCTGCAACTTCTGGACGCCGCGGGACCCCGTCTTCTCGGGTCTCCCCTCCGGGTCCCGACTCCTCGCCGCCCTCCCCCCATCCTTCGCTCCAGGCACCGGCGGTCTGCCGGGACACTAGCACATCCGTTGTCCCAGAGCTGGAGCCGCGACGCGGGGAAGCGCGCGACAAGGCGTGGCGTATGTAGATGAACAAGCGCGCAGAGGCTGCCGGTCCCGGACCGCCTGGGCGCGCACGTCCCGCGTGGGGGCTAGGCAAAGGCGCCCGCGGTGGTTTTGCGGACGGGAGAGGTTGGAGCTGAGGGGGGGCTGCGGGCCTCCGGGGCGCGGAAGCCGCGTGGGGCAAGTGACCGTGTGTAAGAAGCGTGGCGAGCGCGAGGGTGTGGGTCGAGGCGGGGCGAGCAACTCATACTTACCTGGCAGGGGAGATACCATGATCACGAAGGTGGTTTTCCCAGGGCGAGGCTTATCCATTGCACTCCGGATGTGCTGACCCCTGCGATTTCCCCAAATGTGGGAAACTCGACTGCATAATTTGTGGTAGTGGGGGACTGCGTTCGCGCTTTCCCCTGATTTTCCGTGGTCTGAATGGAAGAACTTGGGTCTAGTTAGGCGGCGGGCTTGGGTGCTTCAGGTTCGCACCCACAATACGGCCGCGCTGCTGCCGTTGCGTTGTTGCTCATTGCGTAGTTCTTAGTACTTAACGCGTTCCGGGACGCCCGAAGCAAGCCTGAAGGAAAGAAAGTAGAATAGCCTGTTTTTCGGCTTCTATTTGGCTTTGCTTGGTTTTTCTTCACTTCGTTTTCCGCCAACTATAGCCCGCCTACTGCGGCAGCACGGAGAAGATTTTTCCGGTCGCTTGAGGACGTCGTGATAGGCGAGCACGTGAGGGTTTGCGGGGGGGCCAGGAGACGGCGCTGAAGTACATCTTCGCTTCGTGGTCGTTTATCTTTTCTTTGTAAGTTCTGCGACACCCCGGTCCCCCCCCCCCCCCCCAGCAGTGTCTCCTTGAAATCCACCACCCTGCTCTGTTAACTTGTGCGTAGTGCCTCACTTCAAAAAGGTCTGTTTGAGCTCAACTTCTGTAGCAGTTCACCACGGAATCTGTGTTGTAGGCGCTTTCCCAAACTAGGGGCAGAGGAGAAACTCGCCCAGTCTTTAAGCCTCACGGGCCTTAGCGGCCCGGGGACCCCCACTTTCTTTTGCAATTTCCTTTCTTTACCGTGCTCCACCTTCACTGCCACCAACCCCGCCACCTTCATTCCTCCTGGGTCGTTCATTCCTACTGCTCGCGTCACTCTCTTCCTCTCAGAGCGTTCAGTAAAGACACGCTGTGGGAGAAACCCTGTACTACTACCCAGTGCAGGGCTTTGTCCCTGTTACTGGGCGTCTTCCTCTTTCTCCTTTGTGTCCCCCAGGCACAAGATGGTCCCTAAAATGTTTCGTAAATGCCACACCACGAGGGTATTGAAACCAGTTTTTGGTTTGGTTTGGCTTTACGGGGAACCAGCAGCTGAGCTGTGGAATACTTCCATTGTTCTGGAGGTACAAAGTAGCATCTTTCCTAAAGTATGCCTTTGAGGGAGTAATCTACATTCTCCACCTTCTTTGTGTGTTTTGTGACAAGGTCCTTGGATAGTGCGGTCAACTCATTTATGTGTGTTTTTGTTAAGCACCCTGCCCCACACTAATATGTAACTTGCTGCTTCCACTCTACCCCCACCCCAACAGACACCGTAAACATGTAAACCAGGGACCAAGGGATGTACCTACCACCCTCCCTACCCTTGCCCGGAATAAGGCCCCCTTGGTACAAACAAGCAGATTAGCGGATGGATAGGTGCGACACTGTATTACTGCCTTTTGCCCCGTACTTGCTGTTTCTTAGCATTTACACAGCACCTTCACGTTTTCAAAGCACTGTACCAATGTTTATTAATCCTCACAACACCCCTGTGAGGTAGGTAGGTCAGTATGTCCTTTGTAGTGGAGAAACTGAGGCAGACAGAGGTCAAGCGAACCAAACCTGCCTAGGCCACAAGGGCAGCCGGCGAAGGGACTGCACCCGAGTCCCGAAGCCAGGGCTCTCTGTCCCGTCCATCCACTGGTGAGCATCGCGTGGGCGTCTTCTCACCAGTGAAGGGGACGGACAGGAGGACCAAACACACAGATTTCTCAGGCAACCGGGGGGGGGGGGGGGGGGAGTACAAACGACATCAGGGAATAACCAGGGAACAACGCCAGTGAAAGAGACAAACGTGAACCAGCACACCAGTAAGGCAAGAGAACATGCTGGAGAGCAAGGCTGGGATCATGGTGACTACTCAGAAGACCTAGACCAGGGGTGGGGAAAATGTAAACGAGGAACCCACCTACAAGGTGACCAACCCAAATACCTGTGGTTTCCAACTGGAAGAAAAGTTAGTGAAAAAAACCAAACCACACAATCGAATTTTAAATTAGAAATGACGTGGCGATAATTCACATTAAAAAGGCCAATCATATTTGTATTGTAACTAGTATCCTTTTTGGAGCCTTCCAGTCCAAATATTCCAGTTCCCACCCCCACGAGGGCTGTTCCTTACAGCACTCTTTCTCTCTCCATACCAATCCGTACACTAGTAGAACTATCAAGTGGCTCGATGGCGTGTCGCAGGGATAACTGGCCCGGCGAGGGATGGAATTCAGGAAACCATCACAGACGGACCATTCTGTCTGCCTCCTGTATTTTAGAAACCGCTGTTTCGAACCTGCCTCTGCCCAATTCCATCTTCTAGGAAAGGCTCAGAGCACACAGAGAAGCAGTTCATTCTTTCGTAAGGGGATTGGTGAACCTGGTTCAACATGCCATTTTCAGAGAAAAAAGAGAGAAGACCTGCACTGTAAAGCATAACGAAGGAGTAGATTGATTATAGCTACTCCAAATTTTAGAGTGATACAATGACCACAGAGTTAAAAACTATCACTGTTACCACGGTTTATTTGACAATAGTCGGTTTAGTCTACAAGTTTAAGGCAAACATACTAATGCAGTCGCTTTTCAGCAGAAATCATACTTATAAAGATTACATAAAGTCTGTCCCAAAACTTCTAAGAAATGTTCATTAATTAAAAATAAGTCTGATTAAGATGCTTTTACCAGGATACATGGATGAACTAAGGTGGCATACAATGTTTTTAAAAAAACAAAACAAAACATAACAAAAACACCAAAAGAAAACAAAAGGTAACGGCAACCTTTATCTTGTCTGAACAATGCATCTTTGAAAGGGTTAAACATCAGAAATTACTTAAAGGGAAATAAGATTGGCAGCCATAAGGAACGCTATTCAGAAAATAAAGACAGTTACAGAGGCTACTTAAAAAAGGCCTGAACGCTGGGCTTCGGAAGAGGAGGAGCGCACGGTGATGGACAACCGTCCCAGGCAGCACACGGGGAGCTGCAGGAGGGCAGCGTTCCACCACACAGACGGACGGACCCGCAAAACCCGTGGACGGCACCGCTCCATCGCTTCTCAGAAAAAAAGGAGAGTAGATGCACTTGGTCAGCTGTTTCTTTTGTTTCCAGTGAGCAGTAAATGCCTAATCTCATTAAGAAAACAAAAATAAAATCTGAAGGAAGGCAGCCCTTTTTGACCAAAGGCGGAGTGTGGCTTATGTGTCTCCATTTAACACTGCCAAGCAGTTCTGCAGCAACTGTAGGTTACCCTAAAAAGGAAGGGAAAATAAATCATGAAGTGCAGACAGCCTGGAAGAGTTGCAGTGAAAATATAACAGCGCTGGGAATCCCGTGACTGACGCCACCTTTCTTAAGACAACAGAACTCCGGAAACGGCTACTCACGATCCACACACGTACGGGTTTAAAGACATAAAACCGTATCCTCTGTTTCACGTACAAGGTTTTCCACACACCAGATTTCTTCAGGACATTTCCGTCTAGGTCAGTATTATGGTGTTGAATCACTCGGCATGATTCTAATGAGGGATGAAACATGCCCTGTGTGTCCAAGTCAAACTACCGGACGTTTTGCAAGACCGGTTCTTATCCCTTTCCTCTAGCCGTTAAAATCTGTGTATCAGGGTAGAGGCATATGAAATTATAACGTACGCTTTCAGGACTAAACGGTAGTGAGTGATACCAGTTTTTACACACATAGCCGCAAGTTCCCGTACAACGGCATTCTGTAACATTCAGACAGGCCTACGTACCCATTTGTAAAACATGGGCGCTGGCATCCAAATTCAGACACGTGTCCGGACAAATGTAAGCATATATGGATTACACCGCTAAACACATGGGGTAAAGGAAAACCTCTTCCTTCCAGTAAGCGGAAAGCCAACTAAAACGATGGGATTAGAAAAGTGACCGTCTGGCAGCCACCACAATAATCGACGGAGGCAAAAGTCATGAGCGGTGGCTTTGAGCATAAGGCTGAAATGCCAATACCGTAGCCATTAGGTACGTGCGGCGATGGAAAATTTAAATTCCTGTTAATAGTAGTTAAATAAAAACTCAGTTTCTCAGTTGCACCACCCACATTTCAAGTGTAGGCGTTTGACGGCCACGTGTGGCTACTTAGTGGCTACCGTACCAGACAGTGCTGATGACAGGATACTTCCATCAGCACACAAAATTCTGTGGGACAGTGCTGGGTAAGCGATGGGGTATTTACACAGTCCCAAGTATCTCCCCGCAGAATACTTCTTCGTTTCAAAGTGTAAAATAGTAACTTGGCCACTGAGAAACCTGCAGACATCATCACTTGAACCAAATGATCAAAGTCAGACATTGCCAGCGAGGCAACTCATCAACAGCATGTACCTCCTGAAAGGATGCAACAACGAGAAGGTCCGAGCACCACTTCTGGGCGATTCCCGCCACAGGTGGGGAATCCAAACTCAATAACTAGACGAACCCAAAGCGAGGGACATTTTACAGACCTGTGCTTTTCAGTGTCCAATGGTATGAAATACAAAGACTCAGGAACTTTCCGCGTTCAGGAAGTCTAAAACGACACGTGCGGGGGGTGCGGGGCGGGGAGGGTACCTGGCTGGCCCAGTTGCTAGAGCGCGCGACTCTCGACTCTCTCGATCCTGGGGGTCGTGAATTCAAGCCCTACAGCGGGTGTAGAGCTCATCCCGAGAAAAACGAAAAGTCACGCCTGGTGGCTCTGTCGGTTAAGTGTCCGACTCTCGGTTTCTGCTCGGGTCACAATCTCACGGTCTCGGTTTGGTGAGTTGGAGCCCTCCCCCACCCCACCCTGCGCCCCGGGCTCTGCACTGACAGCGCAGGAGCCTGCCTTGGGATTCTCCCTCTCTCTCCCTCTCCCTCTCCCTCCCCCTCTCCCTCCCCCTCCCCCTCCCCCCCCCCCCTCTCTCTCTCTCTCTCTCTCTCTCTCTCTCTCTCGCTAGCCCGCTAGCTCGCTCGCTCTGCCTCTCCCCTTCTCCCACGTGTGCGCTCGCGCTCTCTCTCGCTCGCTCTCTCAAAATAAATACATAAACTTAAAAAATAAATAAAAAGGCCTGTGCGCCGAATGTCATGTATTATCTTGAGTATCCTTTTGCCACTAA